TCCCGGTTCCGAACCAGTAATGAAGATTAGAGCATTTCATGCCTGGACATGTACATAAGATAAACTGTATTCCGCTAAGGTAGTGCTCATCTTATAATCACAATTGGGCCTGGAAAATTTGTTGTTAAGAGGTGTGGTCATTAAATGAAGCAGCACAGGATTACCCCGATTTAAAAAAAAATCTTTTTTTTTTNTTAGGAGAGGAGAACAACTGAGGACAAGGAGTCGACTTGGGAAGCAAGGCACACATGGACACTGAATGGCGCCTCCCTGGCTGGGGAATAAATAGGAAGAAAGGGGAGTGGTTGTAGGAGACAACAGTTCGTATTTCTGAAGATTTTGCTCATTGTGTTTCGTGCCATAAAGGCTGCTTGCCAGAACTTAATCTGCAGCCTTTCGGTAGTCCCGAGCAGTGGTTGGCCCAGCCCATCCGCCACGGTGCTATCATGTCCTATATCATTGCCGTGTGTTTGAAGCTGCAAGCATGTGTGGAAGGCACGCGCACGCTCGCATTTTCAGTTCTTGGCAAACCTGTTGTTACATTATGTGACCGCCACCTCTGCTTTCAATTCCGTTATTCTGTTTTGATGGGTGAACATTACTAATTATTTTCTTATATAGGGAGTCCTCAACGTATGGCCACAATTGAGGCTGAAATGTAGGTTGTTCAGTGAGACATTTGTTAAATGAGTTTTGCCCCATTTTACGACTTTTCTTGCCATGTTTGTAAAGTGAATCACTGCAGCTGTTAAATTAGTTACACCATGGTTAAGTGAATCAGGTTTCTCCATTTACTTTGCTCATCAGAAGGTCGCAAAAGGGGATTGCGAGGACACTGCAACTGTCATAAACGCAAGTCAGTCGTCAAGCATCCGAATAGAAATCAGGTGCTGCAACGGTCATATGTGTAAAAAACGGCCATACGTCACTTTTTACTGTATTGTTGTAACTTCGAACGGTCATTAAATGAAGTGTTGCAAGTTGAGGACTACCTGTACTCTCGCAGAGTGTTTTCCCTTCATAGGTGTGCTAGAGCAGGGGTGTCAAACTCGATTTCATCGAGGGACACATCAGGTTGTGTTTGACCTTGGTGAGGTGGAGTGCGCGTGGCCAGAGTGGGCATGGCCAGCTTGACGTCACTCGTGTCGGGGCGCCTGTGGCGGTCCAAGCACTCTGCCAACAAAAACTGGCTCGTGTAGCTCCGTTTTCAGCTGCAACAGCCTCCTGCAGCCCTCTGCTAGCAAAAACATGGGGGCGGGACGGTGCATGCAACCCTCTTGGGCCCCATTATTTTCTGCAACGGCCTCCTGCAGCCCTCTGCCAGCGGCCCCACTGAGCTCCGTTTTCATTGGCAGAAGAACTGCGGGCTGGTCCGCTGTTTCCAGGGAAACCGAAAGGGCCATATCTAAGCACTCCGCAGGCCGAATCCAGCCCTCAGGCCTTCAGTTTGACACCCCTGCGCTAGATGAATATGGCTCAAAACTGGTAAGCATAAAATGATGGGTTGCAGGCGGTACGCCCCAGTATGGGCATACCCGAGCCTGCCCAGAGCACCGGGTAGCGTTCTGGTACGGTGCTCCGGAGGGCCCACCCGCCCGCCTGAGCTCCTTACCTGTCCTTTAAGTCTTTGGTGCTTCCGCGCACACGCATGGTGCATATGGCACCTGCGCGACGCTCTGCCGAGCAGCTGGAGCGTCGCAGAGGCTTGCGGAAGTATTGCAGGCAAGTACGATGCATGCGCGTGCCGCGCGCGTCCATGTGGGTGATGCCAGACCTGTTCCAACCGTATTGGTTGGAACGGGATCCGGAACCCACCACTGGTGTAGATCTTATGGTACCCAATATGAGTCATGGTGGCGCAGTGGCTAGAATGCAGTACTGCAGGCTACTTCTGCTGACTGCCGGCTGCCTGCAATTTGGCAGTTTAAATCTCACCAGGCTCAAGGTGGATTCAGCCTTCTGTCCTTCTGAGGTGGGTAAAATGAGGGCCCAGATTGTTGGGGGCAAGAGGCCACTTAGAGAGGGCTTTAAAAGACTGTGAAGCAGTATATAAGTTTAAGGGCTATTGCTATTCCTTCCTTCCTTCCTTCCTTCCTTCCTTCCTTCCTTCCTTCCTTCCTTCCTT